GGATGAGTGTAAAGGTATGGTCATTTAGTCTCAATGGCTGCTATCCTCATGAAATGTGGTATGAACAACACTTTCTTTACTTTTCTTTAACAATTGTACTCATGCTCACAATTTACCTCATTATTTACTTCTCTTGGAATAACAGACTCCCAATTTCTTTTGCATTTTCACAACTTTTTTGGTCTTTTTCTTTTTCCTTCTTCTTTTCTTTTTCTCTTTTTTTTTTGTATGGTGGGGTTCTATCTTTCTCAAAACCTTGGATCAAGGGGGACTCTTTTGCATTTCTTGATTTACCTTCTCTTTTCACCACACCCCCTACTTAGGCTTTTGTCCTAAGCTGGCTATTAAAACAAACCACACTTCATGAGGATTATGGGTGAAGGGATAAAGAGAGGTCACAATTGCATCAAGTTTCTTCCAAGAAAAGGGTAAGGCTCAAAGGGTGTTCAAGCAAAGTTCACACACTCACAAGATTGGCCACAAAAGAGGTATAATGTCAAATTGTTTCACTCTTCAAACTTTTTGCCTAAAATCATTTCAGGAGCTTGCATCACTTAGTCAACCGGACTAACGGGGAAAATTTTAGGTGTTATCACAAAAGGTTATCGGTAAGCTCATCACACAAGGCATTGGCGACCAATATCAAACAAGACTCCACACTTTCGCTAGTGTTCGATGCTCATCACAATAGACTCAATTCGATAATCGGCTAGTCACTATGAGATGCAAAAAGGTCACATATTGCCTATGCAACTTCATTTGTCCTCATGGTAGACACACATTCATTTTTGTTCGATTAAGAGCACTATTCAAGTCATCGATATTGATCATGATTGACACTCAAATTTGCACAAGAACAACCACATTCAAACACAATCAAGAGGTGGCAAATATTTTTCAGAATGGTCCAAAAACCATTTGCAATTAGAACAAGGAGCCACAAGTTCAAACATCCACAACACAGTGCCAAAACACAATTTACAGCACAAAACCCAATATATAAATGAAAGTAATAATCACAAGAGGTAGGTATGGATATACGTCACCCCACCACAAATAAAAAGTAATTTATCCTCAAATGCAATCAAAATACTAAAAGTTAATAAAAGTGACAGAGAAGGAGGTAAAGAGAGGTTATGTCTATGCAGTTGCTCCATATGTCGGGGTATCAGTGCCTAGTGCAACACTCTGATCTTGGGCATCAGTGCCCGGGCTATCAGTAACACTAGATTCGGCCATGGTGGTGTCCGCCAAAGAAATATGTACGGCTGAATCTATCATCGCTTCCTCAACCTCTGTCAGGCCCTCATAACTCTTCATTAACACCAAACTGCTTCTCATTGGTCTCAGCCTCAGACTCGGCAGCAGCTACCTCCTCAGTTTGAACCTTATCTCTGGTGGTAGACGGAGGGATATATGGATTAACAGGCATATCAGGGATATCCACCGTTCTGAAAATCATCGACATGTCGGTGGACTTCAGCTGGTCCACATATCTCCTCAACTCAGCAATAGTGGCCTTTAGAGCCGTCACCTCATCAATGGCCCATTGGCCTTGCTCACACCCACTATCTGTGCCGTAAGGGCATCAATGGTCATACTTAGGAGTGTCATAGCGTCAGCAAGTGATCTCTCGATCATGCCAGGAATGGTGGCCTAAAGCCTGGAAGCGCGCTTATCAGCAGAATGGGATAGCTTCCCCATCCGTAGTAGTGCAGCCTGGGTGAGTGGAGGTCGGGCAGCGGCAGCAGTAGACCTAGGAGACAAGGGAGCTACAGAGGAACTAGGCGTCATGGAAGGGAAAGTGCTAAATATACATGAAGGCCCAGGGGTCGGAGTAGGCAAAGGTGCCTCTGCAGGTAATGCATCAGTGTCAACAATCGGGGATGTATTCACCGGGGCTGCCTTCTTCTTCTCGACCTCATCCTTTAAGTACTCTTACTCAATCCTCCGGATGTTGATAGAAGATGTGGGAATTACTTCCACATCCTTCTTCTCATCTCGGGGTACCCGAACCTGTCTGCATAGCTCAATGATCGACACCGGAAAAAAAAGGGAGCTTTGGCGCTATTTGGCCCTCATGACCATCTCCTGTATAATGATCATCCCTAAGTTTAGCCTTGTCTCAATAATGATGCAACCCAGACAGGCTTCTTTCGCATGATGGAGAATCGATTCATTCTGGGATGGCATGATAGTACTGCTGATGAAGCCAAACCAGAACCTTGCTGCTATATTGAGATCATTCTTCTTAATGGGTGCTCTAACCTCAATCCACTTGAGAGTACCGTCAGATATCAGAGGAGTGATTTTAGGCATATTTATATCCCTACAAATCTAATAATTCCCATATTCAAGCTAAGTTTGACTTCAATATGTGCTTGTTTATAGTCTGATTGAGTCTTTTGGTTGTATATAAGCTAACCAACATGATTAATTATGTAGGTGAGCTTAATTGGAGAAACGAGCACGAAAATGGACAATGGGGACCACAAAAGATTCGAGTCGAAAAGAAGCAAGGAAGAAGATTAAAGAAATATCATTCAAGGCATCTCCGTATCCTCTCCACGTCACGGAGAGGAATTTTAGTTTGGCTCGCGAAATTCAGTTTTGAGGCAGAGTGGTATGTGGCAAGATTGCGTCGCGGAGAAGAGAAAAGATTCATAGAATGAAATTTGAAGATGCCTCCGCGATGCGCCCCTAGGTTTCAGTTTTGGCCATTTTGAATTTTAGTATAAATAGGCTAATATTTTATTTTATTAAATTATTCTTTTAATGGGTTTTGAAGAACGACGAATTGGGAGAGCGTTTTCATCATTTTTAGGGTTCTTTCCTAAACTCTTTTACTTTCGATCTTTCTATGATACTAAACATTGTTTGGTCGAATCTTTGATTATGAGTAGCTAAATACCCTATTCTAGGGCTGTGGCTACAAGATGATTGTAATATATTAAGTTTTCATTGGGTTAATATTAATTATAATATGAATCTTTCTTATGTTCTTGTTTTTCGTATTTTGTGACTGGCCACCATTGAAATAAATTCATTGTCCAAATTGAACTTGGGAGAGGAATAAGAGGATAGAACGTGGGACATAAGGAGCATGATTTTCTCTTAATAACTAGGGTTAATTAGTATTTAGGATAGGGATATACCTAAAAACCATGTTTGGTCACTATACAGGAAGAAATCGTAATGCTCGGTACTTGATCTAGACTATCCCCGCTCAACGATGTAGTAAGGTTGTCATTTATCGTAGGCGATTAGAGGTTGGGAGACCATGATCATACATTTAACCCTGTGATTCATTGATTCAATAGTTGATAAATACCAATGTAAGTGATATTAATTGCATGAATCCTTATAAGAGCTGCAGCCCTGAACTTTACCCAATCATTGTTTTAAACCCTTGAAATTGAACTGCGTTTGTTACATTTTGTTAACTCTTAGAATTATAAACTAAATCACTTTTGGAATATTGATAAAACTTGTGCTTAGCTGAAAGTTGGAGAAATTAAGTGATTCTAAGCGTAAGTCATTGTGGGTATGATACCCGTCTCTATATAAGAGCCACTTTAATACTTGAACGATCACATGCACTTGCGTGTGCGATTTGGGCGCAACAAGTTTTTGGCGCCACTGCCGAGGACTTTAGAATTAGCAGTTATCTGATTTTTCTGTTTTCTGAAGTTAAAAAAGCAAGTTTTGACAACTTGATCTTAGCATTTCATTGTTGCAGGTTGTATTAGAATTTCACCCTGGACAACGATCAAAGATTGGTATCGTCTCTAGCTGAACCGGAAAGATTCGTGCACTACCGGATGAGGCTAAGATGACTTACTTACCCAGTGCCTCTTGTTGCTGGTGAATCAACATCTCTAGTAGCAAGAGTTGAGCAAGAAGAACCTAGAGTAATAGTTGAGATGAAGGTAAGAGACGTGGCAATCCCATGTACCACCAATGTGACATCATGTATTCGAAAACCTGCAGCTGGTGGAAGGTTTGAACTGAAGTAGAGTATGGTGCAATAATTGCACACTAATGGGAAGTTCACTGGTTTGTCGCACGAGGATCCAACAGTTCACATCCAAAACTTCCTCGAGATCATTGATACTTACACTCCAACTAGAGTAAACGAGGATTATGTGAGGCTCACCTTATTTCCCTTTTCTCTGCTTGGGGAAGCAAAAATATGATTGAATTCTGAGCCCGCTAACTTTATCACCACCTGGGATGATCTTGCACAAAAGTTCCTCATCAGATTTTTTCCATCTAGAAAAATAGCTACGTTGAGAAGTGACATCCTAAGTTTTAGACAGAAGGGAGGAGATAACTTGTACCAAACTTGGGACAGGTTTAAATTGATGTTGATAAGCTTTCCATATCATCATCAGTCTAATGAGGTGTTGGTCCATACCTTCATAGAAGGATTGGAGCCTAATACCAAAATTTTGCTTGATGCAGCTGCAGGTGGTCAGGCTTTGGAGAAGACATTTGCTAAGGTATTCACCTTGCTGAACAGAATCTCACAGGGTAACCCCAAATGGAACAGAGGTGGGGTGAAACCTGTAATACAAAAAAACTGATGGTATGCTTGAAGTAAATGCAGTGACTGCCTTAACTACACAGATTGCTGTGATGCAAAACATGATGAACACCCACTTTAGAAATCTAGCATTGGGACAACAACCCGCTCAGGTGAATGCAGTCAAACAACCACCAACTTGGTGTGAAATATGCGGAGGTGATGATCATAGTGCAGAGGTATGTGGTGCAAACCCAGATTCTGTGAACTTTGTAGGGAATGCACAATGAGGAGAGGCCAATAGAACTATGGAAACTCATACAATCCAAGCTGGCGCAACCATCCAATTTTTTCTTGGGGTGTTAATCAAAATCTGGCTTAAGGCCAAAATCAATATAGACCCCAATGAAATGCGTAAGGGTACCAACTGCAGGTCCAACAGGACCAGCCAAAAAAGTAGTCTAGTGACATGAGCATGGAGGAGATGCTGAAAAATATTATGGCTGATCAAGCCCAGTTAGCTGCTGATGCAAGAAACAACCAGTTAGCTATACAAAATTTGGAGAAACAATTCGGGTAGTTTGCTAGTGCCCAAAACTCATGACCGCAAGGAGGTTTGCCAGGAAACACTGATCCGAATCCCAAGCAGGAAAACACGGTAGGTACACGCAGTGGTTTGCAGTTAGAGGAGTTAGCTCCTAAGAAAAGAAACACTGATGTTGTGAGTAAAAACAGTGAAACCAATGAGAGTGAGGTTATTGCAAAAGAAGAAATAGTGCAACCAATAGTGAAACCACCTCCTCCATTCCCTCAAAAGTTCAAGAAATAGAAGGAGGATGAATGATTTCGTAAGTTTCTCTCTCTTTTGAAACAAGTTCACATTAACTTGCCATTGGTAGATGTTTCGCAGGGTATACCCAGGTATGCTAAATGTGAAGGAGGTTGTTGTGAACAAAAGGAGGCTTACTGAATATGAGACTGTTGCACTTACTAAAGAGTGCAGCTCCAGAATCCAAAATAAGTTGCCCACTAAACTGAAAGATTCGGGTAGCTTTACAGTTTAGATCACTATAGGGCAAAGCATTCATGCGCGTGGATTGTGTGATCTAGGAGCTAGTATCAATTTGATGCCAACTTCGTTGTACAAAAAACTGGGATTGGGTAGTCCTAAACCTACTACCATCATCTTAGAGTTGGCTGATAGATCTGTTGCTAGGCCTGAGGGTGTTGTAGAGGATGTGTTAGTGCAAGTGGGATCGTTGATATTCCCAGTAGACTTTGTTGTGCTGAATTTTGAGCCAGATCATGAGGTCCCTTTCATCTTAGGAAGACCTTTCTTGGCTACTGGATGGGCTATGATAGATGTAGCAGCTGCGCAACTCACTATGCGGTCACATGATAAAGTGGAGGTGTTCGACGTGTACAAGGCATTAAAGCTACCAGTTGTTTATGAGGAGTTGTCTTCCATAACTGCGATACATCTTGAGGCAGAGGCTCGATACATTGCATCTAAGGACCCTTTAGAGCGAGTGCTAGGAGGGGCTGAAATCTATGGGGATGCTGAGGCACAAGAAATGGTGCAATTTCTTGATGTGGCACTTGTAGGTACATTCAGAGATCTTTGGGAACCTTTAAATAGAGTGTTGGGTCCTCCACCCAAACCCTTCATTCAAGTAGCATCCCAGTTGGAGTTAAAAGCATTGCCAGCACACCTCATGTATGCATTTTTGGGTGAAAATAAAACTTTACTGGTTATTTTGTTTGCAACATTGTCTGATGCACAGGTGGAAGCAACATTAATCATCTTGAAGAAGAGAAAAATAGCTTTGGGTTGGAAAATGTCTGACATCCATGGAATTAGTCCCGCATTGTGCATGCATAAAATCTATATGGAGGAAGGACATAAGTCGAGTGCACAACATTAGCAGAGACTAAATCCAGTGATGAAGGATTTGGTAAGAAAAGAGGTAATCAAGTGGTTAGATGCAGGGATTGTGTACCCCATATCAGATAGTAAATAGGTGAGTCCAGTACAGTGTGTGCCCAAGAAGGGCGGAATGACGGTGGTAACTAATGAAAATAATGAATTGATCCCCACAAGAACAGTGACATGGTGGCGTATCTTCATGGATTATAGAATGTTGAATGATGCCACCAGAAAGGACCATTACCCGGTGCCTTTTATTGATCAGATGCTGGATAGATTGGTGGGTCAGGAATATTACTATTTCCTTAATGGCTACTCAGGGTACAATCAAATTGTTATTGTACTAGAAGATCGGGAGAAGACTACCTTCACTTCTCCGTATGACACGTATGCGTTCAAGCGCATGCCATTCGGCTTATGCAATGCACCGATGACATTTCAGAGATGCATGGTGGCGATATTCCATGATATGGTGGAGGATTTTGGTGAAGTGTTCATGGACGACTTCTCGGTGTTTGGTGAGTCTCTTGAACTTTGTTTGACTAATCTTGCCAGAGTTATTGCTAGGTGTGAAGAAAAAAATCTGGTGTTGAACTAGGAGAAGTGTCAGTTTCTAGTTTGAGATGGAATTGTGTTGGGACACAAGATCTCCAAGAATGGGTTGGAAGTTGACAAAGCTAAAGTGGAGGTTATTGAGAAGTTGCCACCACCCATCACAGTGAAGGGAGTTAGAAGCTTTCTAGGCTATGTTGTGTTCTATCAGAGGTTCATTAAGGACTTCTCTAAGACTACATGACCCATGTGCAGCTTGTTAGAGAAAGAGATGAAGTTTGTATTTGATGAGAAGTGTTTGTAGGCATTTGAGTTGCTAAAGATGAAGTTGATAGAAGCTCCTATTTTTATTTCTCCAAACTGGGAGCTTCCATTCGAGCTTATGTACGATGCCAGTGATATAGCAGTTGGGGCAGTGCTTGGGCAGCAAAAAGATAAGATGTTTCATTCCATCTACTATGCCAGCAAGACACTTGATGCAGCCCAACCAAATTATATTGTTACTGAAAAAGAGATGTTGGCATTAGTGTTTGCATTTGATAAGTTCAGATCATACTTGGTAGGAACTAAGGTTATATTCTACACTGATCATGCTGCAATCCGGTATTTGTTTAATAAGAAGGATGCCAAGCCGAGGCTAATTAGGTAGATTCTGTTATTGCCAGAGTTTGATCTAGAGATAAGAGATAAGAAGGAAATTGAGAACCAAATAGCTGATCATCTGTCCAGATTGGAGGATTCATCTTATGTGAAGAATGAGAGGCAGATTTGCAAAGAATTTCCTGATGAGCAATTGCTTGCTTTGGACCTTGCTCAAGTGCCTTGGTATGCTGATATTGTAAATTTTCTTGTGAGTGGTTTATTTCCGCATGGGGCCTCAACACATCAAAAGCAGAGGTTGAAGTATGATGCCAGCTTCTATATATGGGATGAGCCCTACTTATTTAAGCAGGGACCTGATCAAATGGTGCGAAGGTGTGTAGCTGAACATGAGGCATCACAAGTGTTGGAGAGTTGTCACTCTTCACCATATGGTGGACATCATGGGGGAGAGCGAACTGCACATACGGTATTGCAATCTGGTTTCTTTTGGCCTACTCTTTTTAAAGATACTGCTATGTTTGTGAAGGGTTGTGATCAGTGCCAAAGAATGGGCACCATTTCTAGAAGGCATGAGATGCCATTGAGGAATATACTGGAGGTAGAGATCTTTGACGTCTGGGGGATAGGATTCATGGGACCATTCCCATTGTCCCATGGTAATCAATACATCTTAGTGGCAGTGGACTACGTGTCCAAGTGGGTGGAGGTTGTTGCATTGCCATCCAATGATTCAAAGGTGGTCGTGAAATTCATCTGGAAGCACATCTTCACCAGGTTTGGAACTCCAAGGGATATGATCAGTGATGGAGGTACGCACTTTATTAATATTTCAGTGCGTAATTTACTAGCTAAATATGGGGTAAGACACAAGGTAGCTACATCATATCATCCCCAAACTAGTGGGCAAGTGGAAGTGTCTATTAGAGAGGTCAAGCAGATCCTCCAAAAAACGGTGAATGCCCAAAGGAAAGACTAGACAGACAAGCTAGATGATGCGTTGTGGGCATACCAGACTGCATACAAAACACCGATAGGGACTTCTCCTTATCGAATGGTGTTTGGAAAAGCGTGCCACCTACCAGCTGAATTGGAGCACAAGGCATATTGGGAGATTAAAAATTTGAATCTTGATGCTGAGTTGGCTAGAAATAAGAGGATAACGCAGCTGCATGAGTTAGAAGAGTTCAGGCTTCACGCCTATGAGAATGCCAAGTTGTACAAAGAAAAGACCAAGAGGTGGCATGACAGGCATATTGTGGCACGCACCTTTGAGCCTGGTCAACTAGTGTTTGTTACACCCCGTAGAAACTAGTTGGACCAAGCTAGGGTCTAATGGAAGCTAGTAGGTGATTTTAGAGACTCACATGTTAGGTTATAGTTGGAAACTTGTTTAATTGATGAATAATGACTATGTAAGTCGGTTCGGTGATTTTAGAGGTCAAACGTCAAGAAACGACTATCACGCCCGGAAACTAGTCTAGTTGAACTAGTGTGTTGTAGGGTTTTGTAGCCAAGTTTTGGAGTGTGGTATGAGATTGGAATTGGGTGTAAAGGGTTCCTACACTTAGGTGGACATGTTTAGGGTCCAAACGTAGGATACGACTCCCTAAGGACCACCCTAGGGGTCCTTGAGGAGGACCCCAACATTGGCCAAAAGCTGTCAAAACAGCTTGAATTACAGAGGCAAGTGACGCCCCGTAAGTCAAGTGACGCCCCGTAGGTCAAGCTCCGTAGGTCATGACTTAGTCTAGGGAGCCTTAGCTCCCATGGCCAAGCCTCAGAACCAAACGACGGAGGGACATAACGACCCGTCACTCCACCTACGGTCCGTAGGTGGAGGTCTCGTAAGTCTGCCCAGTTTTTCAGTTTAGTTAGGAGTTAGGGTCAAATTTAAATGGTCATATCTCATAGCTCAAAACGAATTAGGTGTTCTATTGCCTATCCAATTAAAGGTCTCTGAGTCCTCTTTCCAACGCCACCGAGTTTGCCTAATTCCGATCTAGGAGTAAAAAGTTATGGCCGAAATAGTGAAGCACTGTCAGTCCCAGGTCCAATCAACGAGACCAAACCACGGACCATTAAACAATTGACGGTCCGTGGATGGCCAAACGTAGATGCTGCCAGTTTTTCAGCTTTTCGTTTTAAGTTAGAAGTTAGGGGTTGGGTTAGTTATTAATTAGGGGTTAATATAGGTCGGTTAATAAGTTAAATTAACACCTATATAAGTATAATAAACCCTAAACTAATCAATTTAACTCATTTATCTAAAGACCCCACAAATTACTCCCCAAGAAATCCCCTCTCTAGAAGAAGAAGAAGAAAGGAAGTTGGGGCAGCAGCTTAGGGCGATTTTCACCATTGATTCAATCTTTGATTGGGGATTTGATTGAAGGTATGTGAAGCTTATTCATCCATGGGTTCTTCCACCCATGGAGCCCCCATAGATATCTGTCACGACCCGGGAGCACCCCCTAGTCGTAACCGGCGTACTCGACCTCGAAGAGGTCTAATACAAGCCTCTTAGCATTCATTCATCGCATAACACTAAAAACATAATGAGTTTAAAACTTTCTTTACCAAGAAAACATTTAATTATTTTAAAAAA